TATACCAAGCACGACTTCCATATATTCTAAATTTTGAGTGGTCATTCTACCGTACCAAATTAGTGCTGGCGTTACTTCCTTTGATAAACCTTTTGTAGCTAAATGATTTAGCTCGTATACAGAGCACTTTAAAGCTTGAGGCCTATATCGTGGTGACAGTGGTGTGTATTCTAAAATTATACTTTTTATCTGGCAATAATTTTTGAAGTTATTTGAAGTAAACTCTCCACCATTATCAAGCGTACTGCTTTCATTTTATTATCTTTCTGTCTTTCAAATTCTCGGATGTAATTAATTAGATTATTTTCTGTCTCGACTATAGATTGCAAAGTTTTTATTACCAGAAAATGTGAGTGATCATCAATAATATTTTGGAAATACTTTGACTCATCGTAAGCTACAGGATTGAATGGGCCACAAACGTCACTGTGTATTAACTCACCAAAGTTTTTACTTCTTTTTTAACTTCTTTTGAATGGTAAGCGTGTTTCTTTTCCTTCTATACAAGTAGAACAAATTTTGTTATTTGGTAGAATCCTATCAGCTGTCAACATATACAAACCACTCGCGAATGCACAGTAAATCTTCAAAGTTTTTTTTTCCACTTATTTCCAATTCATTTCTTTCCATTATTATTTTGTAACCCGTTCCTGTCAATTTTGAGGCAGATAGCAAAGTATGCTTCATGTCTGACACATGAACTTAAATATTCCTTTTATATTACGTTTTAAAATGTCCCCATTTGCGATAGGTATGAATAGATACAGTATTTGGCAATGGTATAATGTCTTTCATATACTTTTCTAATTTCTCAGTAACAAAATGATTGCTGGCTCCTGAATCTAACTCAAAAGTCAACTTTCCTTCCACATCATTGCATAAGTTATAAGCGTATAATTGTAGTCCCGAGTCCTCACCTTTACTGTCTGTTGCATTTGTTGCTGCTTCCCATAACCTTGATATCTTTGATTGTTAAAGCCACCCCTATAATATCTTGATCCTTGTCCTCTGAAACTATTTTTTTTGGGGCACTTGTAAAATGTGTCAAGCTTCCACACCTGTAACCTGCTCCTTTTCGGGCTTGAAAACTTGCTTTAAATCAAACTCACTCTGCCTTTTTTTCGATGCTTATTTTAATTCCTCGTCTAATGACCTTGACTTTACGTAATCCAGTTGCACCTTGTCCACCGTTTCCAATGCTGTCACAACTATGTCAAATTTGGGTAGTAGTGTTAAAAATAACTGACATATTTTCTCATTTTCTCTGAAATCTGTTCCTTTCTCTCAAGTTGCCTTATGATGGCGTCAAATTTAATAAAAATGATCTTCTACTCGGTCCTGGTGCATATTCAAGGTTATTTAACTGCCTCCTTAAAGCAAGTTTTGTGAACGAACTTGAACGAGCAAATACTGATTTAAAAGCATCTATCGGCTTTTGCGTTCTGGCATTCCTTAATCATGTCCAAATGTTTATCTGAAAGTCCTTGAACAATTGATTGTGCTTTTGCATCTATTTGTTCCATCGAGGTAGAATAATAAGGAGGCAAACGTGTGCCTAGTTCTGCCATATTGTGAGTGAAGCGCAGAATTTCTATTTTGGGTTTTCGAAGGATTTTCTGTTTCAGTATGTTAAAATTTGTGTGACAACTTCTTCTTTCTTGGCGTAATGTAGATTTTTTTACGTTTTTAGATAAAATTTAAAAAATTATAAAGAATTTATTTAGTTCGGCTCTGTGTGAGTAGCCATATTGTTGTTGTGTGCCACGCCCACCGATACCGTTTTTATTCTACTATCCAAATGCTGACAGCGTCTCCCTATAATTCTACCTCAATGATTTGTTCCCATGCTGACTTTTATATCTGGCTTGCGGTTTCGCTGAGCTCAGTGTTTATAACTTCAAAACACTTGTCCCTTTTCAAAAGTCACTTGTCCCTTTTCAAAAGTATTTGTATACGGAACCACCAATTATTAAAATTGCCTCCAACACCGTCACGGCAATAGTACCCGAATATCCGCTAGCCATCGTTTACTCTGCTTTGGTACAAACGACACTTTCCACGACTGTCTACCTTATAAAGGCGATTGTTCACGAAAAAACGACACAGATTTCCTTACTTATTAATACCCCACTGCATGCGTATATCTGGTTCCATAACCTGATGAAAAGTATGTATATTTTGATGAGAAAGAATTTATTGTCCATCGTTTTTAATCTGACACTGAGGAGCGAGGGGGTGAAGCATATGGCAAAAACAGGTGTGACGTCATGTGACCATTGGCGTTCTAACGTAGGGAGCCACCAGATCACATTCCTTTGGAGTATCAGATTAAAATCGACGGACTGTAAACAGTTTTTATTTTTTTTATAACATGAAACAATGCAATGCACAATAATTGAAACGTTGACAAGAACTGACTTTTTGACAGATCATAATTTTTGTCAACCATAGAACTGGTTCTAGTTAATTCTAACATTGCCCTCGTTGATCCAGTTAAACAAACTGGTTAGATGCCTCGTCCTCCAGTTCAACAAACGTTTCTTTGTTATTTATTACGCTAGTTCCCATCATGTCAGTATCGTCCACAAGCAAGTATTATTTGCGAACCATTCGTTTCGAGCTCTGTTTCTAGTTTGGAGTCCCTTACGACCTTCTTGAAAAGAGTCGGGAACAGCGCGTCACCTTGCTTCAATCCTGTATTTACCCTGAATACGTGGGACATATCACTTCCAACTTTCATTCTGCATCTGGAACCTTCTACACAAACTCCTGTTAGTCTTATAATCTTATGAGGAATCCCGAATTCTGCCATTTTCTCCCATATCTTAACTTTTTTCATACTACCATATGCTTATTGGAAATCTATAAATAGTTGGTGTATCTCCCAGCTTTTTTCTAGTAGCTGTTGATTGGTTTGTCCGAAAGCCGCACTGATAGACTCCTATTATCTCCTCTGTGAATGGGGTTATTCTCGACAGGATTAAATTTGATAGAACTTTGTATGCTACGTTTATGACCGATATTCCTCTATAATTTTTTCATATCATTCTGTCTCCTTTTATTTCTGTGTATTAATTATGCTTTCTTTCCAGTCTACGGGGATCTCGTTTTTCCAGATAGTTCTCTTGAGTTCGTATAGTTGGGATGTGGCTGTGTTTCCGGCATGTTTCAAGAGTTCGGCGGTTATCGTGTCTTTAACCTTTACCCGGAAATTTATTGTTTTTTTAACTTTTTTATAGTGTTTTCAATTTCCATTCAAGAGGAGTATTCTTCTCGCATTTCCGCACTTCAAAAGCTGGTTCTTTATTGTTTGTATAATCCTGGTTAAGTAGTTGTTTAAAGTACTTTTTCTATTTAAGCAGTATTTGATCTTGTCTGGTTACTAGATCTCCATTGAATTTCCTGAATATTCCATCGACTTCCAGCTCCTGCAACTCCTGATCTCGTGTTTTTTTCCTTCTTAGTAGTTTATTAGCCTCTCTTCTTAGTTGTCTGAATTTACTGTTATTATCTTTAGTGGGATCCTGCATCATTACTAGTGTTGCATTATTTCTCTCCTTAAGTACCCTCTCACATGCCGGATCGTACTAGTGCAGCGGTTCCCAAACAATACAAGTTTTAAGATTTAAAATAAAAAAAATCAGTTAAAATTTAAAAAAAGATGTCTACAATCCGGCAACAGCGCATACCTAAGCCAAACTTTGCCATGCGATAATTGCTACAGCGCACGCTCGCTGCCCACTGTCATGCCCATTCCTCCCCTTCCAAAGTTCAGAACTGCTTTCGGGTGCCATCCGTTTAGCGCTCCCGAGTTACTCCGAAGTACTTCGGCTACAGTTTGACCCGTTCGGTTTCAAGCGTTCGAGTGCAAAACGCATGGAGTATAAAGGACTATTCACACACATCAGTTCCGTATCAGTGCCGTTTCAGTTCAGTATCAGTGGCAGTGAAAAATAAAATATCGTTGCCTAGTGTCAAATGAACCTGTTTAGACAAGTCCGGCGCAGTGACGTTTTTTACCATCAGTGCTGCGTCAGTGTCAGTTCCGTGTTTTTTATTTAAGTCGGCAACGATATTTTGTGTATTTCACTGACGGAAATCGATTGGAATTTGCGTTTGATCTCTGAATTCGGACATTTCACTGAAAGCATGGTACAGACTACAGACGGATATGTGTAAATTGTCACTACTGATGAAGCACGGATAGCCCTGATACTGAACTGACGCAGCACTGATACGGAACTGATGTGTGTGAATGGTCCTTAACAAGTTACTGACGGGTATGAAATGTTCTAAGAGCATCCGAAAGCGTCTCTTTTCAGACGAGTTACAGTAAGTAAAAAAAAAATGTTTTTGTATAATGGGGAAAGGAAGGGCGGGGGGCGCGACCACTGCTTGATTTCAGAAAGGGGGCGCGGAAGAAAACAGTTTGGTAACCACTGTACTAGTGGTTACTATTTTTGTTTATTGGATTCACTTCCACAGTCACTTTTGCTACCCCTGTGATTCGGATAGTATCTACTTTCCAACTCGTGTCGATGTCATCTGTATTTTTAATTTCTTGGCATTATTGGTGCTCTATTTTCGCCTGGAAACGCCTTCTGATTTTTTCATTTACCAGTTTTGCTGTATCTTACTGTTGATCTTGTTTGGATTGTACATTTTTTGAGCTTGATATTCTGATTCTCAGCTTTGCTCAAACAAGAAAATCATCCGAGTCCGCCTCTGCCACTCGACGATCAAGATCAATCGAAGCATTCGATTGTATGATATAACTTTCTAATAACTTGAATTTTGCATAAATAATTATCCCCTTCAAAGTAAGGATGAGTGCCATTGCTTTAACCCAATTAAGAATCTTCGTTTTGAAGCACACATAATTCAATGTCTATTGTAATGATTGAAATTTCAATTACCATCAAGATCAAGGCACATGCTCTGGATGTAAAAGGAATACATTTTCTGCAAAAAAAAATATATTTTAACAAAGTTATTTCCAGGACGAGGGAGGAGCAAATGAATCGGCAGCTCCCCCTAGGGTGTCGCCGCCCCCTGATTACCCGGGCACTCCAATGTTGGCTAACGTAACTCTAAATTTTGATCAGACCAGCTCCAATGCCACAGAACAATTACAGCTTCCCAATAATTCTCGTACAAGAGTGTCCAGTCCCGAAGTAATTGTCAGGCCGTCGGACGAAACTGTCTCTGATTCCATTTATTGTGAGCAATAGAACTTTTAGTCTGAACTATGAGTGACAGGAGTGAAAATTTTGAAATGGCCAAATGGTTGGTTGGCCAATTTGTGCTCTGTGATTAAACGCATTTGTGGACGTTTTTCTATTTTTCAAACTTATTTGATGGTAAAAAGCGGGTGAAAATTGGGCCTAGTTCTTTTGTAAAAGTTATTTTTTGATGGAGAAACAGTTTTACAAAAGAGCTTTCAGCCCATTTTATTTAAATAGTCACCTATAGGTTTTTTAGTAATAATTTTATAAACTTGATGAAATTGTTTTGTTTAAAAAAGATGTAAGATATTGATAATTTTTTTAGCTTTCCTTTGAGAAAAGGCTGATTTTCTTTTACGAAATTCCAATAATGAATATTTTCTTTGTAATTGTAAGTATTAAAAAATTGTTAGGTGTTTTTTTTTTTAAGAAATTGTTAAAAAAAGTAAATGTTACAATCATTGCCAATTTTTTACAATAGGTAGAATTATTTTTTCAATTGATCACACAATTGTACCATTTGCCATTGATGCACCAAATATCCAAATACATACATATTATTTTTTTCTTTTTAGTTAAGTTTATATGGGAGGAAAATTAACAAATAATAATAAAAATATTGACTTTTGAAGGCATTTATTTGTAAATGCGGTCAACAGTCAGTAATTCTTAGACCAAAAATATTGAAAATTCTCAAATTGTAATACTTAAGATAGAATATTAAATATATTTGAACAAAGGCAGTGGTCAAATGAGGTTATTATTTTTAAATATTTATCATTTATGTACTAAGAAACATCTCCTTTTTTTGGGTTGCTAATAATTCAGAACTTGGTTTTGGGTTTTTGTTTTTCTTTTTCTTTTCTTGTTCCTCGAGGAATTCTTCCGCTATATTTTGCTAACAATTTGCTAAAGAATTTAATAATAATCAATAAAATACCTCAGTGACTTCCTTTTTCTTTGAAAGAAACCCAAGAAGTTGTTTTCCTGGGAGCACAAAAGTAATCCAGATTATAGAACCCGTGACATTTTGTCCCTAATCACTTGACCACTGTAAAAATGTATAATTATTATTATTATGTATTGTATTATTGAACAAAAAAAAACAAAGATTTATCTTATTGTATATTATCAAACAATTGTCGAAACAATAATTTGTAACAAAAATATCTATAAATATTAAACTACATTATATACTTGTGCAGATCTCATTATAACATTGAATTATTTTTTTCTGTCGTGAATGAAAAACGCGCGGTATTTTTATAAACCATTATTGTCGAGGTAAAAGCAGATAAAAAAAAAGTAAAGTTTCTACCAGTTGTTGAAAACTTTTTTGGAAATGTGATAAAACAAAAAAAAAATTTCTCAAACTCCCCAAGTGTTTGTCTTTTTATCCATTAAAAGTTTAGTAATATCAAAAAATTATATTTGATGCTATGTCTCTTGTAAAATAAATATAATATTTATGTAAATAAGGAAATAATAAAATAGTTGTTTTTATACGAAATTTTATTTTTTTGTTTATATTCCAGTTACATTTCGAATCCATTCTCTATAGTTTGAATTTGCTAGGCGAGTGAAGGCACCTGGAAGAATCCCGCATGGCTTGTAGGACCATGATACTATACCCCATTGTGTTCCGTTTATTGTTAATGGACCACCAGAATCCATCTAGAAAAGGATAAAAAATGTTACAATATTTAATTCATAGGAGGACAGAAAAGACTTACCGTACATTGTCCTTTTTCATGTTCCCAATCACCAGCGCAAGTATTCAATGAAGAATTGAAAAAGTTGCCATCTTGATTCAACTCTAGATCGCAATAATTATCATCAAATAAAATTAAATCAACTTTTTGCAAAATGTCAGTTTGGGTATCATTTTCCATAAAACCCCAACCAGTTAAAATAGCTGTTACATTGAATGGTATAGCTTCGAAATTTTCTGGTAGTTTTATTGGTTGAATATTGTTGTCAAAGATTAGAGCTTCTTCCAACTAAAAAAACAATATTTTTAGTTGGCCAAAGATGGATTATAACTAAACTTGCTTCTAAAAGTCCAAGATCATTGTAAGGGATAAGGTCGGTGTACCATAAAGGGTGTAAAATTTGATTTTTCACTTTGACAGTATTTTCGCCGCCTCCATCATCGAGAAACACTGAACCGTATCGGATAAATACAGCAAATCTACAAATTAATGTAATAGGAAACCATTTAGTTTTTTGGTAATTAGGACAAATATTTCACTACATTAATAATTTGCATTTTTCCTTGAAAAGCATTTATTTTAAAATACCTCAAAGACGAGAGACATTATTTCTTGGAAATATTTTTTTTCATAACACACAAAAAAAAATTATTTGCTCTAATTAAAATTCTAAAAGTTGACTTTCAAAAGAGTACATTTTATTTAACATTGAGTGTAAAAAGTTTTGAGACAGAACGGTAAAGCCAAAACAAAACGAGTGCTAATTAGGTATTATAAAAAATATCTTGCTCATTTCTACATTCAGTCTACCTTTTGGGTACACTTTATATTTTTAATTGAGTCTTCTAAAGATTTCTTTTTATAACTTTATAAGGCAATATGATGAAGTAATGAGGGCTGAGTTTTTGACCTGCTCGTTTAGGATTTAGCATTTTATTGCGAAATCACATTGGCGCAACTCCAGCACGAGTATTCAGGAATTCTATTGTGTGAGTTGAATAAACAAGTCGAGGGGGATTTCATTGTGGTAATTTAGTGTACACAATCGGGGTAATTAGTGGAAATTTTAAGGGAAATGAGTGGTAATGACTGGAAATTAGGGAAATACGGTGGTATTTAGTGGTAATTAGTGGTAATTCGGGGTAATTTTTGGTAATTTGAGGCAATTGAAGGCAATTTTGGGGGTAATTAAAGGAAATTTTGTGGTAATACCTCAAAGTTCTGTAGTGATAAAATTATGATATGCCTTCGAATTTGCTTTAATTCAGAAGAAATAGCGCTTCAACTATAAACTATCCAACTAAGCTTCAAGTAAAATATTCTTCTGAGTCCCTATTAGTCAGTTAGAAACATCAACTTTCATTTTCTAAGGGCCAAATTATGGACCAACTGGTAAGTGTCTGGTTGTTACCTAGCAGGTACTGCCTATTCTCTAGTACATAGAAAGTACCTGCTAGGTAACAACCAGACGTTTACCAGTCGGTCCATAATTTGGCCCTAAGGAATGTTTCATTTGGGGTTTCATTACTCGTCACTGTCAACGGAATTTTGTTGCCGAGTGACGTCATAATAATAGGTCGTTTCAAATGGCGATGTTTCGACCGTAACTTCAAATATTTATAAAAAATTAACGGCTGATTTTTATTGCTTGATATTTGGCATGACTATGTATTTAGTGTAGTAGAACACATTCTTGAAATAAAATAAAAAATGTGCAAGTTCCCTATTGTTCATCACTTGGTTTGACATCATTTATGAACGTCGTTTTTTACTGCTCATTTCAAAACTTTCAAGTCCTCGTCTCATTAGGCCCAGTTTTGTGTTTTAGTGTTTCTAAATCTAAAAGAAAAGGTGAATTTGATAGATAGAGAGTGCATTCTTGTTATATTATTATAATACCTTAAGCCTCTGTCACACTTTCGGCAAATAGCTACAAATATTTAGGTGTTTATGTGTTTCTGTCTCTCTGTTTCTCTAGTTTCAATTTTCTAGATTTTCACCTATCCTAGATGGATGCCAAATACACAAATATTTGTGAGGAACTGCAGAGGCGTGTGAAATTTCATATTTTTTCATATTTTTGTCTTCTAGATTGAATCCGAAATAGAGTCGGAATGTTCTGAAGTCGCTGGTGGTGAACTCGGTTTGTTCCTTTAACATGAATTAAATGATTTTTATCCAGTTTCTAGATGGAACTTGAGTTTTGCAAGATTTTGGAATCTTTTTTTCTTCGACACATCATATTGAAATGCCTCCTTGAGCGTTTCTCTTTTTCAACTTTCAACATCTTAATTTGCTCTTCTTTCAACATCTCGATTTGTTCATTCATCATCGATAAAATAATTTTTATCCAGTTTCTAGAAGATGAAACTTCAGTTTTTGCAGGATTTTGGAATCCTTTTTTTTCGGACATGTTGAAATACCTCCCTGAGTTTCTGCCTTTTTCAACTTTCAACATCTTCATTTGTTCTTTTTTTAACATTGCGATCTGTTCCTTCAACATCAATTAAATTATTTTTATCCAGTTTCTAGAAGCTGGAACTTTAGTTTTTGCTTTGCAGGATTTTGGAATCCTTTTTTCTCCGAGATATGATGGAATGCCTCCTTGAGTGTCTCTCTTTTTCAACTTTCAATATCTTGATTTACTCTTCTTTTAACATCTCGATTTGCTCCTTCAACATCAATCAGATGATTTCTATCGGGTTTCTTGAAGATGGAATTTGAGTTTTTGCAGGATTTTGGAATCCTTTTTTCTTCGAGACATGTTGGAATACGTCTTTGAGAGTGTCTGTCTTTTCTAACTTTCAACATCTTGATTTGCTTTTCTTTCAATATCTCGATTTGTTTCTTCAACATCAATCAAATGATTTTTATTCAGTTTCTGGAAGATGAAGCTTGATTTTTTGCAGGATTTGGAATTTTTTTTTCTTCGAGACATGTTAGAATGCCTTCCTGAGTATGTCGTTTTTTCAACTTTCAACATCTTGATTTGCTCTTCTTTTAACATCTCGATTTGTTATTGAGTTCTAGTCTCGGGTATACTTGAAAATTGAAATAAATTCCTGGTATTTAGTGGTAATTTCAGTGGCAATTCGTGGTAATGACAGTGGTAATTAGTGGTATTGACAGTGGTAATTAGTGGTATTTACCGGAAATAAGAGGTAATAAGTGGTAATTTGAGTGGCATTGAGTGGTAATTCCTGAGGTAATGAAAGGTAATACAGGAAAAAAGTGGTAATTTACAGGTAATTACTGGTAATTTGTGGTAATTTCTGTCAGAAGTGGTAATTTAGTGTACACAGTTCCACTACTGAAATCCCCCTCGAAACAAGTAGATATTTACCAGAATTTTAGGGAAAGGGAAGTAGGTATGTAGATTATAAACTAAAATCAGTTAACTAAATTAATTTCTGATGGCTTAAATTTAAAACTGTTCTTATGAATTTGGCTTTATGCCTATGGAATTGCAACAATTCTTCTATTACAACTCAAAAAAGACCTTAACAATAACCCTTGAAGCTAGATTAGAGAAACCAGCTTCAGTAAAATTTTTGCCAGAAATCATCACCCACAATAAAAGATTGACTTACGAAGTGCAATGACCAGCAGTTAAAATCCATTTTGAGCCTATTATAGATCCGCCGCAATAGTGGAGTTGATTTTCACCTCTCAGAGACACCTTCAAAAATATTGTCAAGACGCAATAATTATTTAAGGTAAGTTTTTAGCTCACCATATAAGGAAATTCTCCATCTGTAGCATTTTGGCCTCCAACGATTCCTAAAACTCCTAAGAGAAAATGTTAATATTGATTGGAGTATGAAAGTAAATGATAAAATATAGTAGGTAGGTACCTACCTACCTTTTGCATTACGAGGTAAATTTAAAACTATTACACACAAAATTTTGAATAACATGTTTTTTCATTAGAAAATAAAATGTAAGTGAACACTATTACTAGATTATTTATTGTTAATCGATTCACTGATACCGTTATTGATAATAAATATAATCTTTTTGAAATTGAGCACTTACCCTCCAAACAAAATAATTAAATTGTAGGATATTGGATTCTCAAAATTGATAAAGAGCAGCGGAAATCTCACAAAGGCATACTGCAATTTTCCATGAGAAAATTATTCCTAGATGAAAACAACTTGCTAGTTCACATCCAAACAAATTAAATTCAGAAGAAAATTGTATACTTACTTACTTATATGTGTATCAAAAAAGCTTTGGACAATGAATTCCAATTTTTCATGTGTAAGAGTTAGAATTTCAGTGAATTAGCACATCCATATGGCTTAAATATTGTCTTGTAAAAACACTCTGAAACTGTTTGGCAAACAAATTGACAACTGCAGTTAGTGGTTAGTTACATCCCTAAGTGAGAAATGTATGTCTTGAACCAAGAGATCTATTTATGTATGAATAAAAATGCTTATCAGAAGAAACTAGCAATTTCTTGTTCATATTTTCGTCTAAACTGTTTTCTCTTGGCTTTTAGGAAGTTATTTTGGTTCCTCTAGTTCAAGTTGTCATTTCCAGAGTTGAATTACAATTCCTGGTGCCACAAATTTCTCTTTTTTTCCAATGTGTTCAAAAATTTCTCGAGTTAGCCAAGGCGGAACGAAAGAGTTGATTGTGGATGGCAGAATGCCCAAGACCCGAGGGGCGATTAACTTATCAAAATCCGTATACAGGGCAGAATCCCAAAAAATCTCGTAAGATGTACTCAAAATCCTCAATAGTTATTTACATTCCAAGCTGCGACAGCGTTTTAGGCACGAGCTGAATATCCACAAAGTGCCGCAAAATCCCTTAAAGTCTCTTGAAATCTCATTAAATCCTACGAAATCTCACAAAATTTTATCACAACCAAAAGATTTAGGTAATAAGTAGGTACTTAGTTGATTTTTGTGAAGTGCAAAATTAAAATAATCAAGTAACCGAAGCCAATTTTAAGCGATTGACCAGTGGTTCATCTTGACAGATAAGCAATGCATTTAACGTCAGTTAAGACCAATTGGTTAATAAATGACGCTTAAATTAATGGTCAATTGCTTAAAATTGGCTTGTGAAAAGCAATTTTAGAACAAATATTCTGGCGACATTTTGATGTAATCAAAATATTTTCAAAAGGCCGAGTTTACTAATTATTTTTATTTATTCCATTATTTTCTTCGTCGCTACAGGGTGTTTAAATAAAGGGAAAATTGTTTTATAAGAAAGTCGGTGAAAAGAGAAAACTGGAAATTGTTTTTCTTCATTTTATAAGTCTACTGCTGAGCACGTTACTTCAAATTTCAAGATGAGGCAACATCACATCAAAGAGAGTTGCTTTATTGGAACTGGAGCATTATTATTAGGTACTTATGCGGCTTTTTATGAAGAATAGATATTTATTTTATTAGGAGTACCTACCTATAAGTAATACTTATGTGACGCGCATGGACATAGGCGCAACTAGGGGGTGCTTGAGAGTGCTAAGCACCCCTAAAGCAAAAATTAGCACTCCTATTCGGCATTCCACCATAGCACTACCTATAGTGGCACTACTTAAAAAATTAGTGCAACCAAATTATTTAATTTTTTTGCACTCTTTGTACTTACTTACGTCATCGATGACGTCATAATTTAGAACAAAGTATTTATCGTTGAATGATTCATAGAGCACGTTCGCAATTATTATTGGTATGGAATAAAATTTTTCAGGTATTACAATATTACCTTAAAATCAAAACTTACCCTAAAATATACGGTTTTTATGTTATATTCAGGATGACGTCATCAAACAAGGTCAGACAATGTTGTCAATGTCTATGTTTATTCTATATCTTAAGGTGATATTGAAATACCGGCCCTTAAGAAATAATTGGAGTCCCAAATATATAAATTAATTACCTAACTGCGTATTATACAGGGTGTTCCTAAATATCATGTTCAAACGACAAAGGGTGATTCTTTGTTTTTTTTTTAAGACTGAAATCTCAAATAATATGTTCTAAAAAATTGACTTATTAAAGCAAATGTTTAAAAAAATCCACCCTCTTACATCTTAATTTTTTTCTGGAAAACTTGCAAAGGGAAAATTTTTAAAATTTTCCAGGAATAAGAGGAAAATTTTCAAAATTTTCCAGTAAAAAATCACTCCAAGAAAAATTTTGAAAAACTAACTTTTTTAACCAAAATTAAGAAGAATTCACCCTCTTACATTTTAATTTTTTTTCTAGAAATCTGGCAAAGGGAAAATTGTGAAATTTTTCCACAAGAAAGAGAAAAATGAGGAGCTCATTATAGGAAAATTTCAAAAATTTCCAGTCAAAAATTTCCAGTGCAAAATCACTCCAGGAAAAATTCTGGGAGATTGACTTTTTTAGGCAAAATTCCATTACATCCGTTACATTTTAATTTTTTTCTGGGAAACTGGTAGAAGGAAAATTATGAAAATTTTCCAGAAAAAAGAGGAAAATAAAGAGCTCATTATAGCAAAATTTTGAAATTTTCGAATGAAAAATCACTCCATAAAAAATTCTGGAAAATTGACTTATTTAAGCAAAATTAAAAAAAAATCACCTCTTACATTTTAATTATTTTGTAGAAAACTTGCAAAGGGAAAAATTTTGAAAATTTTCCAGGAATAAGAAGAAAATGAGGAGCTCATTTTACGAAAATTTCAAAATTTTCCAGTAAAAAATCACTCTAGGAAAAATTTTGAAAAACTAACTTATTTAAGCAAAATTAAGGAAAATTCACCCTCTTACATTTTAATTTTTTTCTGGAAAACTGGCAGAGGGAAAATTTTGGAAATTTTCCAAGAAAAAGAGGAAAGTGAGGAGCTCATTATAGAGAAATTTCGAAATTTTCCAGTGAGAAATCACTCCAGGGAAAATTGACTTTTTAAGCAAAATTCATCCTTCCACATTTCAATTTTTTTCTGGAAAACTGGCAAATCAAAAATTGTGGAATTTTTCCAGAAGAAAGAGGAAAGTGGGGAACTCAATATAAGAAAATTTCAAAATTTTCTAGTGAAAAATGACTCCAGAAAAAATTCTAGAAAATTGAGTTATTTAAGCAAAATTAAGGAAAATTCACCCTTTCATATTTAATTTTTTTTTTGGAAAACTGGCAAAGGGAAAATTTTGAACATTTTCCAGGAAAAAGAGAAAAATAAGGAGCTCATTATAGGAAAATTTCAAAATTTTCCAGTGGAAAATCACTCCAGGAAAAATTCTAGGAGATTGACTTTTTTAGACAAAATTCACCCTCATACATTTTAATTTTTTTCTGGGAAACTGGCAAAAGGAAAGTTGTGAAAATTTTCCAGAAAAAAGAGGAAAATAAAGAGCTCATTATAGCAAAATTTTAAAATTTTTGAATGAAAAATCACTTCATAAAAAATTCTGGAAAATTGACTTATTTAAGCAAAATTAAAAAAAAAAAAATCACCTCTTACATTTTTGGGACGCATATAGTTTCTATAAAAGAAAAGATGGTATTAATCAAATCTCTAAAACAACATTGGACCAAATACATCTGGCCAGACAAAAAAAATCAAGATATTCAAAAAGTTAATGGTAAATGTCTTTTACGTACCAATAGTACGTAATATCTGGCAATGAACCTTTTTGTATAAAACGTGCTGAAAAATACAAAATTGATAGAGAATTTAGAGATTTTAAAAAAATTATATTTAGAAACTCGAGGAAAAGCCACTATACATCTTTGGCTTTTGAATACTTTTACTCGAGCTTTTAGTGTAAACCGAGCTGTAAACTGTAAATATACACTATAGGGTCTTTTCCAAACCGCCCCAAGAACAGTTGCGGAACCACTATATACGAATTTTGAATTCTACTCACAAATTCTACGATTTGTTCAGAATCCGTACGGTGAAATGTACCGTTTCCTGCTGGGTTGAAACAAAAGCTTTTATTTTTATTTCGAAGTTTAACTATTATCAAATCACATAAGCATATGTCAGCATATATCAGTTTAGACTAACCGACTAATCCATCAGCATCCAGCTTTATATTACTATCTCTTGTTCGCGACTTTGCACGCGTCTATTTTAGCTCGGTATAGTCGATGCTTGGTCAGACCAACCCAACGCTCAACACTACCCTTAAAGTGGGGTTTTATAGTATAAACCTGGAGAAAAACGAAAAATTAGCATTTCATCTCTCTCTAGGGGGATTTTGGGGTGAAATTTGCACAATCTGATAATTTTACTTCAATGAGACTACAAACCTCTATAATTGTGCCAAATTTCATGTTTGTAGCTCATCAAGAAGTAGGTGAACCTTTTCTGGACACACTGGACACAGATTTATTTTGCCATTAACATACACACAACCAGTGGCGGCTCGTCAGGTTAGGCAGGGGGGAGGCAGTGCCTCCCCTGTAAAAGTGCTACAAAAAGTATTTTTATACAATTTTAAAATATTTTTCAAGTGTTGTTTTTTTGGAGGCTTAAAATAGGTAATCGTTTTTTGGCGTGGTACTTGAACATTTCCCCCCCCCCCCTCGCCATTTTTGTTTTTTGGCTGGCTGCCCCTTAAAATAAAAGTCACGGGCCGCCACTGCACACAACCAAAAAAGTTTTGCACCGCCCTGTAATATAACTACACCAGAATCTACCGAAAATATTCATCGACAAATAAAAATATTGTTATCTTCAACTATGAAAATGTGTCCAGTACTAGTTACTGAAAAGGTTAAGGAATCTGAAATTGTTTACTATTTTTTTATTGATAATTTTTTAATTCAGATTCCGCTGAATATATAAAATGAGCAAAGGTGAGCAAAGTTAATCGGAAAGCACTTCGTTAATCGTTAAATTCGCTACTTAAAAAGTTAACTTCGAAAATCGTTAATCCTTAAATTTTTAAGAATTAACCAAAATTAAAGCTATCCATTAAGAAATATGTAAGATTATTCCACTCATGTGTTAGAAATTCCATAAGACAAGTGACGATTTTCAGAATTACAGCGAAAATTCTCTTTTCCATTTGTTTAACTAGAGCGAATTACAGCGATAATTCTCCCATGTTATTGTATACATGGTTGTCATGCTAATTTTTGATACAAACAAACGGTTCCTGATAGCAACCATTTATTTGTATTGACGCATGAATCCCTTGAAACGCAAATCAGACACATAAAGAATTTGGATTGGATTGGACTTGCAAGTCAACAAAAATAAAAAAGGATGCAAAATTATCTGCAGAACCCTGAGGAAAACAAAAGTATTGGAATTGGGACATCTAAAACAAATTAAGAATTTGGATTGGCACGTCACAACATAAATAGAAAGGATGCAAAATTATTTGTGAAAGTGCCCTATGTGAAACTGAACAGTGTGCTGGAGAAAAGGGTGTTTCAAGGATTCAAAAAAAATCCAAAATTCTTGAAGTTATACTGTAGCGAAACCTAAATATGGACAAAAAGGTGTTAATTAAATTGTTTAGTGAAGATATTTTACAAAAAAAATTGTTATTGTTTTAGGTTTCTTTGTCTCTCGCTTCGTCTAGAAAAGCCAATTCAAGGGAAACCTGAATTAAAAAAACAGGCAACTGTTACTGAAGAAGTATGAGGATTTGGTTCCGATGCAGAGAATTTTATTTGTATAGTAACAATTTTTTCGAACAGTTTTGTATAGAGTATCGTTTCTGGAGAAACGAAAGCGTTTTTTATATCATGCACATGTGCAGATTGATTCCGAACTATAGTTTTGAGTGAAACCCAAACAAAGCTAGAATGTCAGGCTAGAATCATATTCCAGAACAGTTCTAAACTGCTTAGTGCAGAAACCAAAAAAGCGAACTGAAACTTGGGATTCGATTCTGACATAAGTTAAATTTACCGCAATTTTTTTAACTCCCTCAATAATTAACGGATTAACACTGTTTTCTGCCCAGCTTTGTAAATAAGATGGTGTAAAACTTTTTTTGTTGTGTAAGTATATGTATAGATAGATATAGATAATGGCTACAGCAGATCTTCAACATTTTCAGAAATCCTTTGAAATTTCCAAAAATCCCTTGGGATCCCCAAAAACCTGCCAAAATCCTTTAGAATCTCTAAAACCTCTTCAAAATCCCCTAAATCACCTTAAATTTTAGAAATCTAACATCTTCTGTAATCCTGTAAAATCGTGTGAAGATTTTCAAAATCCTCAAAATCCCACAAAATCAATAAAGATTTAAAATCTGTGTAGGTATACATGTTTTGATGAGTTAACCACCCCTCGCCATGACCCACTCATAGTAAGCAGTAATGCTGCAGAATTCTTGCTGTAGATGTGAGCTCATATAAGCATAGGCTACGGACCAAAATCTCCTCTTATATATTTTATTTGTTGGCTTTTAAGTTACCTGGATTTGGAATTCAGATGGACTAATAGCAGATCAAGTAGAGACTGTTCAGTTACGTAAATAAGCTATAATATTTTAGGTAGACATCACATATAAACAGTTTACACAAACTTGACATAGCACCTTTGTTTACTTTGTGATGTAGTTTAAAAAGTTTCTCGAGACACTTATATTAGGAACCAAATTGGGTACTTTTTAGATTTAAATGACTGACATTGTATCTCTCGTGTTTGTTGACTTATTCATCTTTCAAGGTTTGATATTTTATTTTGTTTTTAAGTTCCTTAGGCCATTGCGTACTTGTACTGAAAGTCGTTTTTATGTCAATTAACCATAAGAATGAATGGCTTGCATATAAACATAAAAGTAGAGTAAAATCATTGTGCCAGATTCAAAGAATATTATTATTTTCAGCCAATGATCTTTCCTGGTTTTTTACTTTCATTGAAGCACCAATATTCATACTGGGTAGTTTTTATAAATTGATTTTCAAATAAGTGCAAACATTCACCATAACAAAGCTTCCAAATTCTTGCGTGCCTCTTTTTTTCACATTTTACTTCACATTAGGAAAACAGTTAAAACAGTTTCCACCGATGAGTCCAGAGTCCACTATTTGTACTTTTTGCCAATCTATATATGTAGGTCATCACAAAGTTTGTTTTCACTTCATTGTGCATGTCAAATCTGTTTTCAATGTTTTTGTTATCCAAACTCACTAACTACACTTTCTGGAAGGCTGTTTCACGTGTTAACAACTCGGTTTGTGAGTCTTCTTTGAAAAATATTGCATTTTTCTGTGTGTCGCCTTGTTATGTTTCTATTTGGTAAAGCAAAGGTGACTTTTAGGGCTTCATCATAGTTTCCAATGTTTTTATGGATGATGTCTAAGTTTTCAATGAAGTCTCATCTCTTTCTTTTGTCCTTAAGGGTCTGTAAATTGAACATACTCAATGTGTTCTCATAGGCAGTGTCTCTAAATTCTTCTGCATCTTCTGTGAGTTATTTCTAGTAACTCTATATTGTCAACTCATAAAAGTACACAAGACCACGCATTATACAAATTAAGTAAATTTCTAAAGGAGGTCACTCTTAAACTATTAAAAACAGACTAACTTTGCTTATGGCAGCAATAATTTTAATAAAAATTCACGCACTGTGGCAATGCAAGGCAAGGTTGGTCTTGAATGCTTTATGCCTGATACGGTACGAGCCTAAAAGACCTGCCTGCTTAGCTGGGTACGTGTACAAACACAGTGCAAGCAGGTTCCCGCTTACCGGTAACCAGCGCCGACTCGCGCTTATAAGCTCGAAAAATGAATGCATGTTTTCAAATCGGCTAGAACACAGTGAAAAGCAGGTACTCTACCTGTTTGTTACTATGTACTAGCCGATTTGAAAACATGCATTCATTTTTCGCGCTTATAAGCGCGAGTCGGCGCTGGTTACCGGTAAGCGGAAACCTGCTTGCACTGTGTTTGTACACGACTAGGTAGTGGTCGAGACTGTGAAACCTGATAAGGTACGAGCGTATAAAAGACCTGCCTTCTTATAGCTGGGTACGACTAGGTAAAGTTTGTTTCGCCAGGGTTTGTACCTGCCACCAGCATTTGCCTTCCTTGTTTCACAAATAAAAATTGACTGAAACAAATCAATGACGTCAAAAACATTTTTCGGTTCTAAACCAGAAGTCATTCATTTTAATTTGTCAAAAAAATTGAATGTGTCATATGAATTAATCGACGACAACCCTTTTTTTTTGAAGTTTCAAGGTCAAGTATGAACCCTCTGGTGAAACGAATCTTATGGTCGACACTGTGAAACTTGTGGATGAAGGTCTCGTCTATAGCGGTCATGTTTCCGCGTCCCCAAGTTTAGACCTATGAGAACTATGTCCTTAGGGGGCCCATTGTTTAAGTGCATCTTGGGTTCATAAAACATTCTTACATTACCGAGGAGCATTAACGAATTGACAATCTAACATGGTCCATCAGGGACGAACATCTGCGTTGTTAGGATTTTGGTAAATCTTTTTGAACTATAATGTGTAATTAGTAATAAAGCATGTATAATATAATACTCGTGGTGGTATTCCTTCCCCCATACCCTCTTTTTTCAGATTTAACCAAAACATGATGCAATAATGCAATAACATCAAAGAATTAAGAAACTGAAAAGGAACACATTTTTTGCACCCGAAATGAGCAAATCAAGCAAAAGACTGCATCGAAAAAATCCGAAGCCCCCATAAATCCAGCCGCAGAAAGTACCTGCACAACAAACGATTTGGTAGACGACTTTTTCCAACCGAGTAACAGTTTACATTCACCCTCAGCTAGCGACGGGAGAGAACAAGAAAACCTACAAGAAACCGAGGACACAAAACTAAGTGAAGACGTCGAAAATACGTGCATCTCAATAAATAGCGAAGAGGACGAAACCGAAGACAATTCATCCTCAGAATACGGAAATCGTGAACCAATAGCAATGACAAATATAACTATCCAAAACGCAGCAACAACCGGAAGGACAGCAGTAATGCCACAATTCCTAAGTCCACCCACTCATCCATGTAAAAACAATGCAACGGGCTTCATCAACAGCTACGAGAGAACAGCCATAGCCAATGAATGTGTGAAAATCGCATACTTTGAAACATTTCTAGACGGAGCCGCGAATTTAGGGTTTCAGAGCTACAAATAAACGGCACATCAAAACAACGGTTAGGACATCTTATATAAAGGGTTGGTAGTTCTAGTACATCTTCTAGTCGTCCGCAAAAAAACGACTTTTAGTTTGCAATTCTGTGCTCAGACTTGCAATGTAACATGTAAACAAAAGCGGGCCAAGGACTGACCCGTGAACAACTCCAATATGAACTGACTTTGGCTCTGATAACCGGCCATCCACTCTTACCCGAAAGGTTCTAGAGTTATGAGTTTTTTCAATAAACTATAAGATTTTTCCTCTGATGCCCACAAAGTGATCTAATTTGTATAATAAATGCTTGTGAGGATCAACCTTCTCATAGTCCAATTATCTATAAATAACTATTGGTGGGCCATTATCTAGCGACCGAGTCCATTCGTTGGACCACATGAGGAGGTTTGTGGATGTTGAGTGGCCTGGCAAATAGCCATGTTGATCATCTTGTTACCTAGGACAAAGCAATCTTTTCAAGCACTTTGCATAGAGAGCTCGTCAGGCTAATTGGTCTGTAATTTAGTGGTTTCAATTTACTGCTCTTGTTATAAATTAGTATATGTGCTGTCAACCAGTAACCACTTTCCATTTAGAGTCTGTATGCTAAGGTGTTTTTGGAGGCAAATGTTAGGTGTCTTTTGATGCTAGTTAAACAGTTTTTAAATACTATTGAAATTTTGTCTGGCCCGGGGCTTGTGTAAATTTTTATATTGTTGATTGCCTCAAGAGTTTATTTGGCAATGTGGCAAAGTTTTTCTGTGTTTCGTTTAAGTATACGGTTTGGAACTGTTCTGCGACTATCGCTGGATCTGTTATAAGGTCTGCTGAGTTAGGGTCTCTCAACTGTATACCTGAAACGTGACTTGTCAATGTTCTATGCATGTACTTGTAGAAGAACTTTTCCTCCTTTTCTAGCAGACTCCCTTCGTACCAACTGCCTGCTTCTCAAAAATGCTTCTCAAATTTTTAGTAAAAATTGCTCTCCATACTAATTGATTTTTTTTTCAAATAAAATTCTTGGGAACAGTGATGGGTAAAACAATATAATGTAAATAAAATTAAAAAAAAAAGTTACAGCCATACTTATTACTAGATATTATTATGCTCAATTTGGTCGAGCTTTAAATAAACTATCACTCAAACCAACAATATCTTCATATTTTTCACAATGCTGAAGGGTAGTTTTATCAATAGCCTCATAGCCAAGATGAGCCCCAGCAATAGCTCCTGCCATACAAGCTATTGTATCAGTGTCACCTCCCAAAGTTATAGCGTACTGTATGGTCCTTCTGAATATATTATTTGTCTAAAATAATTTGTGTACAATTTTTTTTTTATTGCCAATCTTATTAGTTACCTCTATTCCGGGTATAGGATTTTGAGCTCTAAGAAAACAATAAATAGCTGTCGGTACCGATTCGTAAGCACTTATTCCATTTCCTATATTACAAATGACTTCTTCGTCTGAATCATCTGTATATTTTTTTCTTAGCATGTCTTGAAGTGTGAAAATTTTTTCACAATAAGGAGTTTCACTTTTGTCGTTACTAATTTATTTTAAAATGTATTAAAATTATGGATTTTTTTTCATAGTAGGTACTTACAGATCTTCATAACAAGCAAGTTCAATGGGCCTTATTTTCTCCACTAAACCTTTACAAAACCCATCTACATCAACAGGCTTATCCGATTCAATTAAAAATGCTTGATGAATTGCTATGCATTGCAATAGGGCCCCATTTATCCCAAGCAAATTGCTGTGTGTTATTTTAGTAGATTCTCTGGCAACATTTAACATATTTTCATATTTATCATAAAAGTATAATGGAATAGGAGCAATGCGCATTGCTCCACCATTTCCGTAAGAGCCTAGGCCGTTAAATTGTTCATTGGAAGGACGATAAATGTCTTCGTATTTTGTGTTCCTTAGTTTTTCGAATACATCCATGACGTTGCTACCGTAGCCTCGACGAGGCTCCTTAAAAAATTCAGTAACAAAAAGCTTAGCGAGGTACTTAAAATCAGGTTCCGGCTTATCGATGAGAAACTTCGCTACGGATTTCATCATTGCTGTATCGTCTGTGTATTTTTTAAAGGGACCCTTGAACGAGGCATCTTCCATTTTATCGAAATACCTTTGAATAATGATCCTGTCGCCGCTCGAGATTTCGTCACCTTCGTAGGGGCCTCCCAAACAATCGCCCATTAACGAACCTACAAGACAGCCCCTAAACTTGCTTTGGATGTTTTGAGGTGACATTTTTCGACAAAAATTTCTGAAAACAACATTCATTTTAGTGCCTATTTATAAAATTATAATTATTTTTAACTTTAACCTCTATTTTTGCTGTTTATATATTTTAAAAAAAATTATTTGGCGGTAAAAATTTGGCATGTGACGTTTGACGTTTGTCAACCTTTTCTATGGCTACGTTCACCTACGTTCCAAAACCGGGAGTAGATTGGATCGATTGGGTTAGGCCTGCTCGGGTTTGAAAAAAGGACGGCTCTAGAACCGAATTTTCGCGACGAATGTAGTTCATCAATAGTTCAATCAAGGACGAATCTTTATAGTTCGTCTTATGACGTCATGAGTTTGAACGCTGGCTAGAAGCTGCGTCCATGCTTCCGGCGAACTCCAGTGTAAAATGCATTAGCCGAGTTTAAAATACTATAATAGGTCAAAAAAACGAATTGGTAGTGGTAGGTGGTAGACGCTTTTTACTCATTGGGCGTCGACCGGTGAGATACCACCATGCCAGAATTGAGTAGCGCTAAGTGGTATCACCACGTTCCGCTACTGCGCTGGCAGTCCGGTTCCAACAATGAGTAACAGATAGCATGATGGCGCCTCCAGGATCAAAATATTCCGGAGGTAAAATACCCGACCACTCGGATCTCCGGGCGTCGGGTGATCCTGGGGGTCCTTCATGCAAAGATATAAAGAGAAGATCAAAAACTCAACTCAGAATTGATTTTAGCAATATAAGAGGAATAAGTACAAATATGAATTCAGTTCACCAACATCTTGAAGAACAAAGACCTGACATCCTTGTTCTCACTGAAACTAAAATCAGTTCTGCAACACCTATTGTGAACTATCTTTATCCCGGCTATGACCTACATCACCGATTTCGACATAATTTTGGGATCTGTGTGTACATTAAAAATGACCTTTCATGTCATCGAGAGGAGAAGCTAGAACCAGCGAACCTTGATATCATATGGCTAAAATTCACCTCAAAGTCATCGACCAAGTTTATCTGCTGCCTCTACCGACCGCCAAGTAACACCGATTACCAAAACTTTTTCGCGACATTATCCGAAAGCTGTGATAGTATACAGTCAAACTATCCACAGGCGGAAATTGTCTTTTTAGGCGATTTCAACGTCCACAATATACCCTGGCTGAAACACCACAACAAAACAGATAACGAAGGCAGAGAAGCAGAAGCTTTTGCCATAAGTTGTGGTCTAACGCAGCTTGTCGATGAACCTACCCGTATCTCAGAAAGGGGCGAATTTGCAGCGCTTTTAGACTTGTTCCTAACCACCAATCCTGACTCGTACACAATTCAAGTAGATACTCCACTTGGTTCGTCCGATCATAAACTTATAATAACAAAGTGCGAAATGCTCATCCCACCAAGCCTACAACCACTTCCTCGTAAAATGTGGCACTATAAATCGGCAAAATGGAATGACCTAAAACAGTATTACCTGGATTTTCCATGGCAAGAGGTTTGCTTTAAAACAGCTGATCCCACTATTTGCTGTAATGAAATAACACAAGTAATCTTATCTGGAATGGACGCATATATCCCACATACAACTAAACGTAGAGCTAATGCAAAACCTTGGTTCAACAGCCAGTGTCAAACGGCTGTACAGAAAAAACAGAGAGCATATAACCTTTGGAAACGACAACAAACCGCTCAAAACCACACAGAATTTATAGAAGCCAGAAATAGTTGCAAAATTACTATTGACTCCGCTAAAGAAACATACAATCAAAGAATAAAAAACAGGTTGCTGAATTGTCCAAGTAGTTCTAGGTCTTTTTGGTCTCTTGCAAAAGCTGTTGGATCTAACTTCACCAAGTCATCCATACCACCACTTACAGATAAAAATAATCACTTAGCCACAACATCAGAGGAAAAAGCCAATATGCTTGCCCAAATGTTTTCCTCCAACTCCAACCTCACAGTGCCAAACGGAAAAACTCCACCGTTCATTGAAAGGATTTCCCATAGTATGCCAGAGGTACCCTTTTGTCACAGAGAAATACGAAAATCCCTAAAAAAGCTGAATACAAACAAAGCAATGGGTCCGGATGGCATTCCCGCAATAGTACTCAAAAATTGCGCCAACGAACTTACCCCAACTTTCGCAAAATTATTCAATTTGTCTTACAGGCAAGAAGTATATCCATCATCATGGAAGTCTGCCGCAGTACAACCCATTCCAAAGAAAGGAAAAAAGACAGATCCGTTAAACTATAGACCAATTGCCCTACTTCCGGTGATATCAAAAGTAATGGAAAGAGTTCTGAACAATCACCTAACCAAGTACTTGGAAAAGTACAAAATTATCAACGATAAGCAATACGGATTTCGAAAATATAGATCAACTGGCGATTTACTTACATACGTCACTCACTTATGGCAAAAAGCGATTGAGTTGCGGGGTGAAACAAGAATTGCGGGGTGAAACAAGAACAATTGCCTTAGATATATCTAAAGCATTCGACAAAGTTTGGCATGAAAATCTGCTCAACAAGCTCAAAGCAATGGGATTATCGCCGAAACTTTGCACTTGGTTTGAAAGTTACCTAAAGGACAGATCCATTTATGTTGCACTGGATGGCCAGAACTCCAACTCTTACCAAATAAATGCTGGTGTGCCACAGGGAGCAATCCTTTCGCCAACTCTTTTCCTGATTTACATAAATGACCTCATAGATAAAACAGTAAATCCAGTTTAT